TCGCTATAAGGTTGGAGGCCATCGCTACTAGGTTGGAGGCCATCGCTAGTAGGTTGGAATCTAGTAGGTTGGAGGCCATCTCTCTTAGGTTGGAGGCCATTGCTAGTAGGTTGGAGGCCATCGCTAGTAGGTTTGAATCCATCGGTATTAGGTTGGAGGCCATCGCCATTTGGTTGGAGGCCATAGCTATTAGGCTGAAGGCCAACCTACTAGCGATGGCCTCCAACTCAATAGCAATGGCCTCCAACTAGCGATGGCCCCCAACCTACTAGAGATGGCCTCCAACCTACTAGCGATGGAGGCCATCTCTAGTAGGTTGGAGACCATCGCTAGTAGGTTGGAGGCCATTGCTATTAGATTGGTTTTGCATCTCCACAGGTCTATTAATTAAATTCTAATTAAACTTACTTCTATTTTAATTGACATGTGTTTCTTGTCTCTAAGCAGCAAACATTGTTCCTAGTAGTAAGGCCAGGAGCCCCGAACGTAGCGTCCGAAATCGCTCCGTTCGATGCCGCGATGCCCGAAATGCTCCGTTCCGGTTCAGTCTCGCACCTCAAAGGCTTCGTCTTTCCGGAGCATTCGGATGGTGCCCGAACCTGAAGTGAGCGCGCTTAGGGAACCTATCACAAGGGTTAGTTAGGCCTCTACTCCTTCCATACTTGCAAGGAATGAATTCAGATGTCCTTTCCTATTGGTTCTCTCACAAAAAACTCCTTTGGAGGTCTTTGGTTTGGATTGCTCCAACCCTAGAAGGCTTCTTTCGCTTCTTTGAGGGTTTTTTAGCCGTGCTGAGCTTCGAGGATGTGCTCTTCCTGAGGGCTTGGCTTAAGTCCCCATAGGCCTTTTGAAGTGGTAATTCCTGAGGACGAGGAATGGACTGAGTTTCGGCTTTGTGAACCTACTAGCGACGGCCTCCAACCTACTAGAAAAATGTCAAGGTTCTCCCTCCAAACAGGCCAATGAATAGACTAATGATTAAACCAAGAAGAGAACCTGTCACCAAGAAGGGAGGTTTGTGGTTTGTTGCCGCCGTTCTTCGCTGACCACAGGGATCGCTAGGTGCCCTTGCATCGCAAGAAACGCTGTAGATGTCGCTTTTCTCCTGTCAGAAAAGGAAACACGTGTGTTTCCTATTTTTTTAGGCCGTGGCCTGCACCCTACTACTAAATTAAGTAGAGACGACCTACCTAATTAAGTAAGGGCTAAGTAAACTACTAGCTACTGGACGCAGGATAGCTCACGCTTCTTCAAGGAAGCTCCCACTGCCTGAGGGCAAGGGGAAGCTTTGAAGCGCTCGCACTAGATTTTTGGAAAAGAATAAAAAGAAGTCTGGTAACGCTTCTGGCAAAAGGTCTTCCGACCATCATCCTGCACCCCTCCAAGCAGAATGTCTGAAGGGCCTCTGCGTACAGCGTCCCAGCATTTCCAAGGGTTGTGACCCACCCTTCCAAGCCGTCCTCCACGGTGGCTTGCGGCAGAAACAGTACGATCATGGCATTGAAATTCTCAAGGTCAAGAATACTGCCTTTAATCAATCTCGCCCTCTTTCTCTACTTGCAAGACTGCTCTCTTTCTTGGCGAGAATGCTTCTTGGAACAACTAGACCAAAAGCTCCGTTCGTAGCCTCCGAAGCTTCCTAGTAGTAAGGCCAAGAGCCCCGAACGTAGCGACGAAAGGACACAAAACTCTGCTCCTTGAGGCACAGCGCCTTGATGCGAGTCACACCAGATTCCTGCCACCATGCTGCGACCACTCCGCGACGTGCCAAGACCGGCACCGATGGCCTCCACCCTAGTAGCTTCTTGCTACTAGAAGCGATGCCCTTTGTTACTAGTAGCTTCTTGTTGCCAGTAGTAAGGCCAGGAGCTACTAGTAGCTTCTTGCTACTAGTAGTAGTACCCTTGTTATTAGTAGCGATGCCCTTGCTACTAGTAGCTTCTTGTTCCTACCAGCGATGGCCTCCAACATACTTAAGAACAAGTTAAGACCTCGGAGAGAAGAGGGACAACCAATCCAACCTCTCCTTGTCAACCTCTGGCCCTTCAAGAAGTCGGATCAATTCGCCCACTTCCATCTTTCTCAAGACCTGGAAACCGACGAGCGAGCCGCGCTTTTCTTTTTCGCCGCTCTTACTTGACCAAGAAGGCGGCTACTTAATTAATCAAGTAAGGGCTAAAGGGCCAGGTAGTGCTACTAGTAAGCTTACTAACTAGCTAGAACACAGGGAACTACTAGACTAGACAGAAGCTGTACCTTGACCATTTGTTTTCTCTGTTAGTCTGAGAAAAGCCAACCCTATGCCTTGCAGAGCTTGATGTTCGGGCCGTCTGTGACTGCGACTCCGGTCTTGCATTTCCAAAACCTGCATCCACCAGGTTCTCGTCGGGTTTCCTTGTTCCTAGCTAGCGTCCTTGTTACTAGTAGCGATGCCCTTTGCTCCTAGTAGCGTCCTTGTTCCTAGTAGTAAGGCCAGGAGCCCCTAGTAGCGTCCTTGCTCCTAGTAGCGATGCCATTTGTTTCCTGGAGAATAATGCCGCTATGTTCTCTTTGTGCAGTTGGAAAATGAATATGAACAGATGCTCTTGAAGTTGAACCTGCTTGGATGCTAGCTCCACCCTGACTGTTTGAACTGGGCCCAAGGGCAAGTTCACCAGCGCATCTAGCCCAACACAGTTGAGATCTGCCTCTGTTGTCCGGTCTGCGCTTGCATTTCTCCGGCAGAGTTCAAGGTCACCCAGCCCTCCAGCTGATCCTTGGATGTGTCAACTCGTGCTTGGCCTTCATAGACTGTCAAGTCTGTTACTAGTAGTAAGAATGCTCCTAGTAGTAATGCCCTTTGTCACTTTGTTACTAGTAGCGATGCCAGGAGCCCCTAGTAGCGTTCTTGTTCCTCGTAGTAAGGCCAGGAGCGTCCGATGCCCTTTGCTCCCAGTAGCTTCTTGTTCCTAGTAGCTTCAAAGACTTGCTCGAGTAGAATCTCACATAGCTACAGCCAAGGAAAACTGCAAGCTCAAACGAGCTACCGTGAAGACTTTGCATCGCACACGCATCACAGCATCTCGACTGTCCTGAAAATCTGGGGATTCTCATTTCAGTCCATCCAGAGACAGAGAAAGAGAATCTTTAATAATGTATTTCTTGTTTTTGTCTTCTTTCATCTTATTTCATTGGTCTATTTCTGTCCATCCAGAGAAGAAGATTGTGTTTGGAACATGCATTGCCCTGTCAGCTGTGTTCGATGGCAAGCGCGGATCAGACATAACATGCCTTAACCTACGTGCGGTTTATGAGGCAGTGTCTGCGACGATGGCCTCCACCCTACTAGCAATGGCCTCCAACCTAGAAGAACCCACACCATTTGCTTTTGGGAGCAGAATTTGACCCTGATGTCATGCAAAAGTGCATAATTCGGACAAGGAGTTCTTAATTGCGAGTTCTTTCTGCTTTCTTCTCATCAACAGGAGAAGAATCTCCTGTTGAATCCCTTGGTTCACCTCTCTTTTTCGGAAAAGGCAAAAGAATCGGGCAAAAGACACAAAAGCAAAGCTGATGAAGTCTTAATAAATTCGGACCGAAACCGTCAAAAAAAAAAAGAAAGTCCCAGTCCTGCCGAGGCCCTTCAAGGATCTCGAGGACTTCATTGGTCTGATGGGAAGAGTCACGAGTCGAGGTCCGCAGTGCGCCAAGTTCGAGCAGTGCTTTGGCTTAATGCTATTAAGCTGTTAATGGCCTCCAACCTACTAGCGATGGCCTCCAAATGGTTCTAATTTTGTTGGTTTGGGAACTTTGGGCATTTCTTGTGATCAAGAAAAAGAAGAAAAGCGGAAATGTTGCACCTGGACCATTCGCGTTCCAAAGAACCCCCGCCTTAAGGGACCTCACTGGTGCTTCACCTGAGGACCTCAAAAGAACACCGTCGTTGAATCAGACATGTCAAATTGGCAGACTTTAGGAACGTTCTGTGAGCAGGAGTGTCTTTGCTAAGGATTAGTAAGCCGTGAAATGAATGCATTCTTGAAGGTGAACAAAAGAGACACGGTTTGTCGTTTGACTTGGAGGTGTGAGGCATTGAACCAGGATCTCAACAAAAGCGTTCTTGCGTTGCATGACGGATCTTTGCTTCCGTACCGAAAAGGGCTTTGTTCGGCTGTGAATGTTTGCCAAGCGACCGAAAGCTCTTCTCCAGTGGAAGATCCACCAAGCAATGAACAAAAGGCTTGGGCCTCTCCTGGATTCCGAAACCGAAGACCAAGACTCGACGATGACATCCAGCATGATGACATGCAGCAGGATGCTTTCCATGCTGCTTCTACATGAGATTGTGCACAGAGAGTCATTCCAAACTTGCCTACAATGCTGAGCCGCCTTCTTTCACACCTCCTAGGTTGAGGTCACTAGTAGGTTGGGGCCATCGCTCTTAGGTTGGAGGCCATCGCTACTAGGGTGGAGGCCATTGCACTATTTCATCAAAGCTATTGAACAATATGTTCGCTACTAGGAACAAGTGCCACGCTAGTAGTAACAAGTGCCTTACTAGTAGTAACAAGAAGCTACTAGTTAGTTTAATTTAGTTTTAATTTAATTCTAATAGCAAACAGTGTTACTACTAGTAAGGCACTTGTTTCTAGTAGCGTGGCACTTGTTTCTACTAGCTTTATTGTTACTACTAGTGTTCACCTCCAAACTAGAATTCTTCGGACAGAGGGAGTGCCTTCAGAAACACGGAGCCCTGGTTTCCACTGACGCTGACCCTCGGGCAAACAGAGCAATGTGGAACCCCTGCCAAAAGCCATCTCATGGGCATGCGCATAGGAAAAGATCAAAAGCCGCCAGGGTTATATATAGCCTCAATAAGCCAGGAAGCTTCTTGTTCCTAGTAACTTCTTGCTCCTAGTAGTCTCCTAGTAGCGATGCCCTTTGCTCCTAGTAGCTTCTTGCTCCTAGTAGCTTCTTGTTTATAATAGCTTCTTGTTACTTCTAGTAAGGCACTTGTTACTAGAAGCGATGCACTTGTTCCTAGTAGCGTCCTATGCTCCTAGAAGCTTCTTGTTCCGGAAAAGTCCGGGCTCAGCTCGCAGCCATCCAATGGTGTTGTCCCGCACAGCACGACCACGGATTCGCTCGATGCCTGGCTCTCGGACACAACCAGACACAGCGGACACCACAACAAGACACAGCTTCGAAAATGTATTGTTTTATGTTTCTATTTGGCAAAATAGAAAGTCTTCCCATTCAAAGCGATGTCGGGCTAAGATCGCTAGAAATCGCATGAAAGCCTCTCGGAAGTTCTTGGGTTGATTGGGACAAGCAAACACTCCATGCATGTCGTCCACTGCAAAACCGGGTAATTAAACCTGAATCAGCACAAAAGAAAAGTCAAAAGAAGAAAGAAACAATGAAAGGTCAATAGAAGAAAGGTCTTTTAAAAAATAAGAAAGAGCGGTCAAAAAAGAATTCATCCAAATGATGGCACACGTCGATTCCTGTCGCCATCTATCGGGCAAAAGGAACCTAATAGCAATGGCCTCCAACCTAATAGCGTCCTTGCTCCTAGTAGCAATGCCCTTTGTCCCTTTGTTCCTAGTAGCTTCTTGCTCCTAGTAGTAAGGCCAGGAGCCCCGAACGTAGCGTCCGATCGCTCCTACTAGCGATGGCCTCCACCCTACTAGCGGCTTCCTGTTCCCGCCTGACTTTTCATCTCCTCGAGGACCTTCCAGCACCTCGATGGCCTCAGACTGGTTCGCTGACCCGAAAGACTTAGAAGCGAAGTTTCAACGTTTTAAAGCCGTTTTGGTTGGGATGGGCTGCCTAGTAGCTTCCAAGTAGCAAACACGTAAAGGGATGTAAAGTGTAAGTATTGAGCTTCCGCAGCTAACGGCAGGATGCCGAAGGGCTTGCTCCTTTGGTAGCGTCCTTGCTCCTAGTAGTAAGGCCAGGAGCCCCTCGTAGCATCCTTGCTCCTAGTAGCGATGCCAGGAGCCCCTAGTAGCATCCTCAGCACTTAATCATGTGGTTTCTAGATTTGTCGGGAAACTTGCTGTAGAACTCGCCTCAGAAACATTGGGGCAAACACATCATGACTCCCGTGCAAACAATGGAATCTCAACCCTCTTGATGTTCCTGCTGGTCTAGCCTGTTATATGTATAGTTGATGACATCACCCACATCCTAGCCTCCTCGGCATTCAGCATACGAATCGGCTTGCTGTTCGTGATGGCAAGGTCATGCGTGAGAGCGATGGTCTTCTGGCATTCCTTAAGGAACAACTCTTGCTGACTGCCATTGATCTTGGCTCAGCTCTAAGAAGAACCCTTATTCTATATACTATTAGGTTGGAGGCCATCGCTAGTAGGTTGGAGGCCATTCCTACTAGTAACAAGATGCTACTAGGTTGGATGGAGGCCATCGCTATTAGGTGTGTGACTCTGAGAACGGGACATAGAATTGCTGGAAGCGGCGCAAGAAGTTCCATCGCGAGATGACACCATCCTGGCATAGAGAGTGCACTTGAGGAATGAAGTGATGTGCAATAGCTAGTGCCTTATGCCACATGTTGTCAAGATATGTTCAAGAAGACTACTTCTATGAGGTCGGTTTAGCTTGTTCAGCTTCCCAATTTGCAAGACAATCCCTTTTGAAATAGGCTTAATGCTGTTTAATTGGGTCATTCTCTGCCTGTGGCACTTTGACAAGGTGCTTTTTGGTGCCTTTTTCTTGGTATGTTTTACTTCATAGCATTCACTACCGTACCAATGTCAAGACTCACTGCCTTCTCCTTTCTGCCCCTTCTTGTTACCCTTGCCTGTTTACTTCCTTGTTTCTTCTATCGTGGCTTTTTGGGGGCTGGGCCGTGACCACAAGTTGTAAGCGATCTTAGTAAGCAGTTAAGAACGACAGGATTCCACTAGATGGGACTCAGTAGAACGAATGAGTTTCTAGTTTGGGGTGCTCTGTTAGCCTAAGGAGGAACGTCCTTTCTGTTCTTCAAAAATGTGTCTTTCTTTATGTCTTTATCTAGTTTTCTGTCTTTCTGTGTTTTTCCGTCTTATTCTTCAAGTCTTCCCTCTTTTAGCGGGGGAGCGCCTCAGAGTTGTCGCCAATGATGCGATCCAACATCAGTGAGATCTGGCGGCGACATCGCTCATCGGGCGTTGACATCGTCGAAGCGAAAGGGTCAGATGCTGGTCAGTCAAGGGGAATAACAAAGGGGAATAAGAAATGATAGATATATTGATAGAACTACAATAGTATTCAATATTATATAATATTAATGAAAGATATCAATGTTGATTGAAATGATGGAAAGGATAGAAAGGATAGATAAGATATTGATATTGATGGAGATTGACCTTATAGCCCTCCCAAAAATGAAACCGTAAGATGGAACGGGTGTGTCTAGTAGTTTCTTGTTACTAGTAGTAGTGCCAGGAGCTACTAGTAGCTTCTTGTTACTGATAATCGATGGCCTCAAATCCAATAGCGCCCTTGCTACTAGAAGCTTCTTGTTACTAGTATTAGGGCCAGGAGACCCTAGTAGCGTCCTTGCTCCTAGTAGCGATGCCCTTTGCTCCTAGTAGCGTCCTATGCTACTAGTAATGCCCCCTAAGCGGAGCTCATCTGGACCACCCATCTGGGCCTGCTCGGTCGTTAGCTTCAAATCGGGAAGGTTATTGAGGCACCTGACAGCCGAAAAAACCAAAATAGCCGAAATATCCGAAAAATGACTTCTGTGCTTTCTGCAGGTGCCTTTTTGTTCGGGTCTTTTACAGTTGAATCACATTCGACCTCTGGTTGGAAACCATTGCTAGTAGGTTGAAGGAAATTCCTATT